ATATATATATATATATATATATATATATATATATGGCTGGTTCAAGGCTTGTTGAAAAACAGCATCCTTCCATCCTCGTGGCCTCAGGAAACCATCACTGCAGATTATGAGGTTCCTCTTGGAGCACGTGGCCATCCCGCTATGTCCTGTTAGGACGCTGCGTCTGAATGACAGTTCAAGCAGCAACGACAGGGGTGGCACCGACCGGGAGGGAAGGAGGCACACAGCCCGGCGCTGGGCGATGGGACGAGGAGTTTTACGGAAAAGCTAAACTGAAATGAGGGGCCACCCATTTCCACCAGGTGCGCAGGAGGGGGGCTGTGAACGCAGCGGCCCAGGGACGAGGGGAGGCAGACGGAGAGGAAGACGGACCGTGCGGCAACGCCTGCCCTGCTGGGCCGGGCTCCTAGCATAGCCGTTTTATTTTTTCAGGAAAAGCTCATCTATGAAGCTTATGTGAAACCCCCGCAGCTTTATTTGTTCATAACATACTCCAGTTTTTAAAAAACATGACCAACAGAGCCCACGGGCTGGCTGATACAGGCCAAGCTGCTTCCCCAGGGGGTCAAGGGCACCCAAAGCAACCCTCATGCGCCTATGGCCGGCCGGCCGGCCTGGGCAGTAAACAGCCATGGGTCATTTTCACTTTAATGGACTCTTGTCATTGCCCCGGCGCTGCTCCTGGAGACAGAAAAGTAATGAGCTGCTTGCAAAGTGGCCTGGGGACTCTGCTCGCCCGGTCAGGCTGCGTTAACGTTCCCTGTTTGCCCTTCCTATCAGCTGCTTGGCTGCTCCGCAGCACCAGGGAGAGACGGTAAAGCAAACAGACAGGGAAGGCACAAGCTGGAAGGAGCTCGGCTTAACAAGCTATCAGGCGGGATCCTTATTGTGCCAGAAGCACGGTGGGTAAGGGGATGCTGAGGGCTACCTGAGATCAGAGCAGGAAGAGATGAGGTCCCTGGAGGAGCTGGGAGGCCAGGAGAAAGGAGTGAAAGGAAACTAAAGGGCCTGGTCTTGAGCCACATGGGGGCTGCACGGGACTCCTGAATTGCAAACACATGCTCACCCGAGGGGAGCTGCAGCAGAAATGCCTCCCAGCAGGGTGAAGGCATCGAGGACATGGGCTCTTGACCCTGACCGTGCTGTGCAATCACACGCTGCTCTGGGCTCAGGGGTTCAGAGGTGGGTACAACAGGCAGACCCCTGTCCTCACACACCTCAGTCACGGGCAGAGACAGACATGGAGCAGGCAGGTGCACACAGGACATACTGGCAGGTGGTGATGAGTTCTGGGAAGAAAAACAACACAGGGCAAAGGCCAGAGATGCCAGGAGGGG